CTCCCCCCCCCCACTGGGCCAGTGGGGGCGAAATCGCCACCTTCGCTCCATAAGACGCACAGACTCCCCCCGCCCACATTTTGGAGGGGGGAAGTGCGTCTTATGGAGCAAAAAATAAGGTATGTACAGCTTACCCCTTGCTTCTCTGTACACTTTGCTATACTGGTGAAGTTTTAGTCTTGTTTTAGGAAGTTTATCTCCATGGATTTCTAAAACTTCTTTAGTAATCTGTTAAATCAGAGTGCTCCAGACTTCCACAATCTTCCCTTTTCCGTTGAAAACAGTTTCCAGCTTCAGGCCTTTCTACTCATATTGTCAGATAGCACATGATTGCCTCCAACACATCCCTGCTGCCTCCTTGTTCAGCTAACTTGTTAATACATTATGCCTTGTATGTTCATAGTACAGAATCGTTGGCATTATAAGTCATGATACAAGTCCACTTATTGTCCTTCCTTAGGTACAGACAAGGGTCCTGTTGTGAACCTCTTCTTGATGAGTATGCAGTTTAATTTCTCATTCCATGTTCTTATAGCTTGCTTCAGTCCAAGATACTATATTGAAACTTAGATACCAGGGGCCTGAATCTCTATATCTTGGAGGCTGTCTCATATTAATGTCTTCTATATGCATCTTGCTTGCTGCTGTACTGATCGATATGTCCAAAGTCAGTCGTGCTTCAGAGCTGAGATAAAAGTCTCACTAAAGTCTTTCCTGTACTTCTGGGAGTATCCATTGGCAAATGAGCTGTGTTATATATGCTAGATCTTGAAAACCCATTTTCACCCCATTGTCTTCCTTCTTAGTGGCAGTTCTATGACCAAAATATAAACAGAAATTGACTGTTCAGATGTTTGCAAGGATAAAAAGTGGACTGTGTTTCTGGAATCATTGCTTCTTTCTTCCTCTCTGTCTCCTGTAACTATTTATAATGTTATTTAAGAGATTCATCAGTGTCTTCAGGCCCTTCAGGCTTAATATGTCTGACCAGAAGACTGTTCATCTGCATGAACAGATGATTTAAAATAAGAAAAGGCATGGTTTGCCTTTTCTTATTTTTGCTCTTATACCCACTAGATAAAAGTGTGGTGTGTAGAGGACAGAGGGTTGACTAGGACTCAGGAGACTGATCGGCACATGACAACGACTCCTCACTAGCAGCTACCAGGGCACTAACAGTACTTCTGTTTGATGTATGTGGTTTATATTCTGTGAAATGAGCAAGTGTTCCCTTTGTTTGGGGAACATTAAGCTGTGCTTAATGCATGTCCTTTCCTCTGTCCCTCAGAACCGTCCATCTGTAATCACATGTGCCCCTGCAAGCAATCGTAACTGCAACCTTTCTCACTGTCCAGTTGCACACAGTGGATGTGGGGCTGCCATGCCAAACAGTTACCGGAGGCCATCAAGCAGTAAGTAATGCTTCTTTTCCAGAGTTTTTCTTCTGAGCACCTGAAGGTGGAGGTGGGGATATTCATATTTATTTATAAATACAAATATCCCCATCCCAGGTGCACCTCACGCGGGCCCGGTCCTTGGAATAGGCCTGTCCATGCATATGCCGTTGCACTGCTAGCCTGTCACTTTTCTCGCCAATTGCAGAAGTAGCTCCACTGTCTCCCTGCTCAGCTGGCCACTCAGCTGCCATGTGGGGAGACTTGTCCTCCTACCCACAGCCTCAAGTGGCCAGCCAAGCCAGGAGACAGAGGAGCTACTTCTTCAATTGGCAGGAAGAGCGGGAGGCTGGCAGTATGGTGGTGTGTGAGTGGATGGGCTGCTTTTGATCACCGGACCTGAATTACCGTATGTGCACCTGGGATAGGGATATTCATATTCCCCATATCTACCTGATAGCTATGTATGGCCATCAAATCCATTTTAACAGATGCAATGAATTAAAAGTGGGCCTTTTTTTAAAAAAAAGAAAGGGTACACTGGGGTCAAATTAAATGTGTAATTGTCCACTGGAGTAGAATTTTTATTGGGATCTTCTTTTTTGTCTTTGGCAGCAGAAAACTTGAGTTATACCAGAAGTTTTTAGCTAATGGAGAAAAAAATTTAGTTTCGCTAGTCAACATTTTTTCTCTATGCTTAAAAACCATAGACTTGCATTGTTCCAGCCTTTTATGGAGCATACTGTATTTTCTTAAACTTGACATTTCTCTTGCCCCTGCTATCTTTTTTCCAGATACACTACTGATACATAGTGTTGTAAGGAGTTGCACTACAATGTTAGATCCAATTCGTTAGAAGTCATACATTCCTACATAACGCACTTGGTCCTAGATAGGATGTGAGAATACTCTTTTGTTGGATTTGTTCAAAACTAACATTTCATTCAACTAGTTTTCTTTGGAGCAAATCGTCTCAGACTTCAAAGATGTTGGACCTTCAGTTGGACCCAGATTTAAACAAGTTTTTAAAGTAAGCCTATTCAATAGGGACGTGGTGGCGCTGCGGGTTAAACCACTGAAGCCTCTGTCCTGCAAGGTCAGAAGACCTGCAGTCATAAGATTGAATCCACGCGACGGTGTGAGCCCCCGTCGCTTGTCCCAGCTCCTGAAAGCATGCTAAATGCAAGAATGCAAGTAGATAAATAGGTACCACCTCAGTGGGAAGGTAAATGGCGTTCCGTGTCTAGTCACGCTGGCCACGTGACCACGGAGGATTGTTTGCGGACAAATTCTAGCTCTATGGGTTGGAAACAGAGATGAGCACCGCTGCCTAGAGTCGGACATGACTGGACAAATTGTCAAGGGGAACCTTTACCTTTTTAATTTAAGTCAATGGAACAAGTTAGGAATGAGAAATGCCATTGATGGGTCTCTTCTAAGATTCTATGCAGAATCAGATACAAAACACATGCTAAAAAGAGAATATAGAATTTGTGATTTTTCTGAAAGGTTGAGGAACATGAAAGAACAAAAATGTAAGGGCCAAAATTACATCTAATAAATTCACACTCTCTTTAAAAAAAGACAATACTTTCAATTTTTTCATGAAGCCACATTACTGTATGTATTTTAGAACCGATATGATTTAATCTTAGTTTCAACCTTTTTCTTATGCTTCTTTAGGAAGGAACACTCTTCGGTTGTGTTTCTAGGTAATAAATATCTTTTGAGATTGTATCAGAAATCAATCTTTTGGACCTAAAATGGCAAACAATTATTTTTTTCTCCCCTCCCCTTTATAATTTTTTTTCTTTTAAGAAAAACCATCCCCTCTTCCTGGATATGTACAAAGAGGTGTATCAATTATGTGTCATAAATATGTTCTTTAAAAATTAATTGACACAATGATTGCAGTTGCCATTTCTGTTTTTAAAAATGCAGGATATGAAGTTTCTACTGGTACAGCTGCAAGAACCCAGCTGTAAGAACTTGTAAACCATTTGTGTAAGCATCAGGAGTCGCTAGTTTCTTAGTAGTCTCTTCTCTCTCTCTCTCCCCCCCCCCCTGCTTTCCCTATGCAGCTCCCACTGCTTGTGATCCAGTGGTGGAAGAGCACTTCCGTAGAAGCCTTGGGAAGAATTACAAGGAGCCAGAGCCCGTGACAAACTCTGTATCCATCACCGGATCTGTTGATGACCACTTTGCCAAAGCACTTGGAGACACATGGCTTCAGATTAAAGCTGCGAAGGATAATGTGTCCAGCAGTCCTGAATCTGCCTCCAGGAGGGGCCAGTCATCATCTCCTCCTTCCTCCCATATGATCAATCATAACCATTCGCCTTCTGTAGTCTCGTGAAGAGAGGACCACCATTTATGTTTTTCATCCAAACTTGCAATTGCATAGTTTGCCTAAGCTTGGAACACTGCTCAAAACAAAATAGTGTTTGGGAGGGAAAATATGAGAGATAAGTTTTAACACACATTTTGTGTGTCATTTACATGTGTTTTTATATATATAAACACACATGTAAATATATGTGCCCTTAAAGATGATAGCAGGACCCATTCAATTACAATTTTATGATGTAGCACTCCTGTTTTTCCTGCTTCAATTACCAAAGAAACCTCTGATGCAAATCTGCTGCCCCTTTTTGTTAAAAAAAACAAACCCCACAAAACAAACAAAAAACACAGAAGCAAGTCAATGCTCTAAAGATAAAATTTAAAAAAAAACTTTTTTCTTTAAAAAAAGCCATTCTGTACAGTTGGTTGACCCAAATGCTGTGTGCTTTGACTAGCTTCTTGAAAGTAGAATTTTGTCTTGTTTTTGCTTCTGTTCCTTTCTTCTTCCTTTGTGAAGTAACTTTGTATGTATATACTTGAAAAGAGTTGTCATGTATGATTTGCACTATTGGAGGTGGTCTTGAGTTGCATAGCAACTTCATGCACGATGCTTATATTCTGAGGGCAAACTGCTGGGGGGGGAAGTCTAAAGATGATGCATCTGTCTCTTTAAAGCAAAAAAAAAAAGCAAAATCTGCGTAGGAAGGGGAAGTCTCATACAGGTTATAGGCCTTTCTCTCTTTAGATTTCAGGTGCTTAGTGCTTGCAACTGGACTGCATTAATTGACTGATCATGGGCATTTAAACTTTTTGTTAACACTGCAGTTTGTTAGACTAGAGCAAAAGTCAGAGGGTTCAGTAGTGCTAAAAGATGCATGTTTTATGAAAAAATAGCTGGTATCTATTAATGTATAGACAATAAGGAATATAATACTTATTAGCCTTTTTGAGAGTTAGGGTGGGTTTTTTTTTCAGTAACAGTTGTAGATAAACTTTACTGCTGGTACAGTTGTACTCTGATATTTGTATTTGATATTCACTTTATTAGCAGCCAGCAACCACAGACAGTTGCCTCAGGTCAGGCCTCGAATCAAAAGAAGCAATTTATAGCTTATACAGTGCTGTGTGGTACAGATGCTTCAAAACTGCATTCATTACTGACTAAACAATGTACATTTGCAGCATTTACAACTTATTGCAAATTTACTCACTAGATTTGTCAAAAACAATCTGTGAAAGGTAAACTGATGATTGAAATGCAATCTTTCATTTTTGAGGCTGCTTATAAATCTAGGCCAAGGCACCATACATTCCTCCATTTAAAATATTTTATAAAGGTGTTATTTGCATATATTTCATTTGCTATATTAATAGCCACTAACTAGATAGTAGAGGCATACATAAAGAACAGAATTGTCTTCATAATAATGAGCTTCTCAGCTTTTTCTTAAATGCAGCAACTTGCCCACTCCAGGATCCACACCCCACACATTCCACTGCCTTGAATACAGTTACAACACCTAGGTCTGAGTTACCTGAAAGGACTGATTCTATTGAGAAAGCTTATGAGTAGCAGAAGGAGACAACAACATGTGATTTATTCTGAATTGTATCACAGTATTGGGTCCACAATGGCCATTCCATTTGTGGGTTTGGTTTTTTTTGTTTTTGTTTTTGTTTGTTTTTTTAACATTAAAGGTTAAATATGAAAAAAAAAGTGCAGGGTGGAAAAGAGCAGAAGATTACTAGTTTTTGTTTTGTGTCTCTATACTGATTGTGGCTGCCTAATTTTAAAAGCAGGAAAAGGACAACAGAAGCTCCTCCCTTATCACGTCTTTCACACATTTCACTGTCATTGTAGTATTGGGTAGTCAGTGCTCAGTCTCTTTTGGCGTTCATGATCCTTCTCCCTGTAAGACAATTGCAGAAACATACACACACATTTTTTTAAATAGGTAACTTTAAGACCATCATTACGCTGTGCGTAAAGAATGTACAGAGAAATTTGTAGGTATTTTTTGAGGAACAATTAATTTGTTAATGATATGTAGCTATTTAATTTTTCCCTTTCCTTTGTTGTAATCATTTTCTGTCTCTTTCTCTCTCTCTCTGTCTGTTTGGAGAAAAAGTTGATCTTTTTTGTTTGTTTGTAGATGTCTGTAATACAGTAAAAGTGCAGGAACACAGTTATTCTATAAGAACACTGCATTAATAGCCACTAGTGTGTTGTTGCTACAGGCTACTGAGCGGTCTAACAGGAAAGTACTAATGACTGTAGATGGGACTCTGTGGGACATGTAACTGCTTGGACATTTCTTTTAAGCACAAGGCTATGTAGTCAAGTTTACTTATCTGTGATAGGTAAATGGCTCTGTGGTGAGGCAAAGGTCACGGGCACCACGGTCCTGAACCACACAATACTTGGAAGAAACCATATACCAGTTTTGGTGGCATATACTTCAAGTAAGTGTACCTAGGGTTATAGGCTCTGTGAGGTACAATATGTCCCACATACATTAATTTGGGGGAGGATGCACCATGGGATATGTTGTTACTTTGTGAAAGCCAAAAGGGTTGGGGTGGGAGGAGAGGAGGAGGGATATTAACCTCACTGTTACATGAAGTTTTATTTTTCCACAGAGCCATGGTATCTACAGTTCAGCTTGAACGATGCTCTCCATGTTTGTAAATCTGTAATATATCATTCTTTTGTGGCCTTGTTTCACCTGGCAATTTTTTAAAAAGGTTTGGCAGGCCATCTTTTTTTTGTACTTAAAAGTAGCCTTAATGAACAATAAAGTGCTCTTAAACCTCTTGCAGTGAGATAGTTTTCATTGTTGTTCTTGTTAATGAGATATACGTTTTTAAAAGGGGCAATTTCACACAGCTACTACCAGCTAAATGTTCCAGATGCCTAAGCAATACCCTTCATCTCTCCCCCCGCCCGCCAATTCCAGATAATCTACACTGTATTCAGCTACTATTGCAGCAGAAGTTATCTTTGTGGAAATTTAGGCTTACTAACACCTTCAGTATAGAAGAAATTATACACAAGGGGCAAAAATTCCTTGTTTGCCATGGCAGATTTGTCACAGTCAAGCAATCTAGACACAGCTTGTTAAGGAAACATTGTAGGATGCAGCTGCTGTACTTGCAACAGAATTTGCAGGTGCCATTGTTGTGATAGCACAGTTGAGTTCTGCCATATATTTGTCCAGTTGGACAGAGTAACTAGTAAAACATTATTGAAGCTCATGGTACAAATGTGCAAAGGGTAATCTTTCGGATTGTATTTGTCTTGGATTCATTGGGCAGGGGTTGTTTTATTCATTTTTTGCTCTTTCAAGTACTGATTCTTTTGTTTTGAGATTCCATAGTTCTGTTGTGTTTGGCACTTATCCAAAAGCCCTAGAGAACTTTTCTTTAACTCCTTTTTTTTAAAAAAAAGCAGGCAGTAGAGAATCAGTGAGCTCTAAAGAACTCTTAACAGTAATTTTAAAAATGCAGGGGTACAGCAGGCAGTGGAATATCAATTTAAAGCCACAAAGAACCATTAAAAACTATCTTTAAAAAGCAGGGTTAAGGTATCCACAGTCAATTTTCAAAAAACACTATTTTTAAAAGTAGCCTACCAGGAAGAACATCCCTCCCCGATACATATAGAAGAATAAATCCACTCCCACAACCAAAAAGAGGGAGCACATAAAAGCAACATTCCAGTAAACATACAAAACCCTCTCCAATTAAAACTAAAACTCCAACTAAACTCCCCTGATTTCTGTTCTCTTCCTTGAGTCTACAAGTAGCACACAGCAGCAGGGTGTGGAGGTCCCACAAAAGAAGGAAAACATGCTAAAGGGGTTCACAGGCACCACTGGAAAGCACAATCAAGATGGAAGACACTATGGAGCTCAGCAGCACACAGAAACAAGATTTTTCACAGTGAACCTATCTAGAGACAGCTGTCCTCCAAAGAAGGACTGAAGCAAAATAACTTTCTTCATTGAGATGAACAGCAAATCTTCATTCTGCAACTCCAAATTCCCTCTCCTTCACTGAATGGTCTGATTGATTTCTAACGTCAGCCCTCAGAATGCCATTTGATTAAGTATTTTCCAGGCAATGTGATAGACAACAAGTGAAGGGAGAGCAAATTAAAGAGAAACAGAAGAATCCAAAGTTCTAGTATCCTCTATCAGGAAAATGAAACATTTGGGTTTGAGAGCCCTTCTTTTGGAAGTAAATGACATAATCTAAAAATGGGAGTAAGATCCTCTTTGTGTGGGTGTGCATGTTTCATTCAGATTAACCTGAAAGTCCCATCGCTATTCATAATGCTTGTCATATGCAAAACAGCAACATCTCCAGCACTATAGTTAAAAGAAGCACAATTGCTGGCTATGGCTGCTGCTTGACTCACTGCAGATACCGATATAGCCATTATGTAATGTTTTTACACACACTGTACTGTAATTGAGAAATATGACTGAGAGTCAAATGCTCAATACTTTTGTCTTAATGCACCCCCAGATATTGAGATACTAGTGGGTCAGCAGTTTCTGCTAAGAACAGTGCTTTTAAAAACTAGTATCTAATTTAAAGGAATTATTTAACTTTTTTATTTATATATTGAATGCTTGGAGTTCTCTGGTCAACTTGCACAACTCATTTCCACAAAATAATTTTCTGCAATAGCATCAACTGTACAGTGCAATATGCCTCTTAGAAATTAGGTTGAACACTATGGACTTGTAGAAAGCGAAACAGTACTGGATAGCAGTACATACTTTGTTACAAAACCTATTGCTTTGTAATGTTCCACTAACCCCAGAATTTTTTTTCTGAACTTTATTCCAGATAATATAGATAAACAAAGAATTATCTAGTCATATATACAGTGGTGCCCTGCTTGACAACGATCCCGTTAGATGACAAAATCCCTTTACGATGACTTTTTTGCGATCGCTATAGCTATATAGCTATAGCGATTGTAAAACGATGTTTCTATGGGTTTGTTTTTTTTTTGCTTTACGTCGATTCGGTCCCTGCTTCGGAAACCATTTTTTCACTGGACAACAATTAAAAACAGCTGATTGACAGTTCGCAAAATGGCTTCCCGCTGTTTTCCGGACCTATTTTCACAACACAGGGATCGTAAAATGGCCGCCCTATGGAGGATCTTCACTGGACAATCAGGTATTTTCCCCATTGGAACGCATTAACCGTTTTTCAATGCATTCCAATGGGTTTTTTCCCCGCTTGACGACAATTTTGCTTAACAGCGATTTTTCCCTGAACGGATTATCATCGTCAAGTGGGGCACCACTGTATAGTCACTGCAGCCAGAATTCTTTAGGCTAAGAACTGGAAGAAATTAGAGATAATGAAACAAGAGGAGCTCCTGGAGAAGATATGGGAAGCAGCAGAAATGGATATACTACTGGAAGTGTTGAAAGACTGTCCAATACAAAAGGCAACTGAACAATGGGATTTATTATATAAATGGCTTGATAAGGATTGAGTAACCTAGAATTAAACTAATATGTAACTCTAAGTAGGAATCTGGAAGGGCAATCAAATGTAGAAAGGTGAAAAGTGTAATGTAAACAAACAGGATTTGATGTCAGTACATTTTGTGCTCTCCTTCCCCCCTTTCTTTTCCCCTACATCCCCCTTTACCTTCTGTATTCCTTACCTTATCTCCAGCTTTAAAAATAAAAATAGGTTGAACACTATGAAAGGTTTTTGTCCAAAAGATTGACCAATCAGGTTAACGAAATGATTTGCTCCACATAACATTCTTTACATGTGTTCTACTCCAAAGATCGCACTTTCACTGCCATGTCACTTGCACAAGTTAAAAACTCCTGTTCTCCAACAGAGCACCTAACTTCAAGGAAAGGCTGACAAGGGACCTAGCTGCTTTTGAAATTTATCACTCAGCTCCTCTCATGGATGGTGTCACCCTTTCATTCCACAGTCTAATTATAAGAACAGGTATGTCCTTGAAAATGTCCAAACCAAGGCTATACTACTTTGGACACATCATGAGACTCACTGGAAAAGACAACGTTTGAGTAGTGTCTCATTCCATGGTGTTAAGCAGTAGACCTACAGCCTGGAGTAGTACAGATAAAGGTCTCCCATTTCAAACCGAGGTGCTGGGAAGCACCTTCCCCTGCCTTTCCCTCCCCTTTGACCCTGAAGCCTTCTTGGTCTCAGCTTTAAAGAACAGAAGAGGAGAAATGGGCACATCCATTATTTCTCTTCCACAAACACCAATTCCAGCTCTCTTCTAGTCTTTTCTGCTAAGGAGGAGAAAGGTGTGTAAAAACCTGAGTAAGGCTTTCGGTCAGAGATGATTCATTCAACCTTTTAACATCATGATCAAGAGCCCACTTTAGGATGCAGTAATGTTGTTTTCATGAGAAGAGAAGACTCCTTGGAAAAGACCTTGATGTTAGGAAAGTGTGACGGCAAGAGGAGAAGGGGACGACCCAGGATGAGATGGCTGGACAGTGTTTGCGAAGCAACCAGCATGAATTTGACACAACTACGGGAAGCAGTGGAAGATAGGAGGGCCTGGCGTGCTCTGGTCCATGGGGTCACGAAGAGTCGGACACGACTAAACAACTAATGTTGTTTTGTGCTGTCAAGTCGCCTCCCTTTCTTTTCCCGCTGCCTTCATCCTTTCTCAGCATTATTGTGGAAATGTTGCCTTCTCATGATGTGCCCAAAGCAGCACAACCTCAATTTCAACACTTTTGCCCCAGAGGTAGTTCAGGCTTGATTTGCTCCAGGACCCACTTGTTTTATCTTTCTGGCAGACCAAGTTATCCACAAGCTCTCCTCCAGCACCACATTTCAAACTAACAATATTTTTTCCTTTTTAAGTGTCTTTACTTTCCAGCTTTCCTACCCCTATATGGTGACTGGAAATACAACAGCGTGGACTATCTTGGTTTTGATCTCCAGTGACACATCCTTCCACTTGATTATCTTTTCTAGTTTCTTCATTGCGGCCCTTGAAGCAGTAATAGAATTTCTTAATTCACAAATTGGTCAGCTAGATATAAATATCCAAAGTGATGCAGTAATTTCTCTATTAGCGGCATTGAATGTGGGAGGAATTCTAAACAGACATTCTGGGTATACACATGGAAAATACAATTCTTCCTACAATAGACTAGTTGTGATGACAAAGCTGTTACTCATTTGAGTAAGAGTAGACTTCTCCCATCGACACAGGATCGTTTCAGCCTCTCTCATGTGACAGATGACTGGCTGCACTGTCCATTGTTAGTCTGCCCCATCTGATATCACACTGGTACTATTCACTCTTTACAAAGGTCAAGCAGGACGCTGGCCGTATTTTCTACCCCCTTACTTCTGCCCCTTATGTTTTGTAAAGGGTAGAATAAATCTGCACCAAACATTTTAAAGAGCTTGCACCTACGTTCAAAGCAGGACACTATGGTGGGGGTACACCACGCAGAAATATATGGGAAGGCTTTCTAAGCTATAGCACCTTGGGTATGGAACAATCTTCCTATGGAGGCTTGATAGGGGCTGACGTTGACATCATTTCAGTGCTAAATTAAAATGTGGCCATCCACTAGAGCCTTTAGGTTATGGTTTAACTTGCCTAATGGTTGTATGTGCTTTAAATTGTTTTACATTCTCTAAAAATAATTTTATATTCACACTGCTGAATTGATTTATCTCTTGTGAAGTAATGTGGGACATAAATATTGCAAACATATAAGTGAACAACGTGGCTCCAAGGGATTTGCTCCTTAACTTGGAGGGAAATCTGGGGCAAA